GAGATTGTCGTGGGTTCGAGTATTTTTACTGTTGTGAAAGAACGGAACATGCTTATTTTTAAAACAACGTATGAATAAAATCTAGACACAATTCTCTATCTTTCTGACATAAAAATGAAATTTTCTGTACGAAATTGTCAAAAAGTATTCTTGGCTTCAAAGCTCTTAGGTGGATCTCGAGTGGTTTTTCAGGAAGGTTTTTGGATGATCACCTTGCCAGTCGGAAAAGCTTTAGTATTTTTTCGATCAAGATGAATTCATTTGATAGCTCAGGATCTCCCGCACAACGCTACGCAAGCCGCACAGTTTTCCGTTCTTCGTGCGCGACTTAGACTTCATGCGCTGAGATCCCCAAAATGCACGCTTTTTCACCCGGCTAAGCTCGGATACGCATGAAAACATGGGTTTTCGACCATGCCAATTCTCGTGACAATCTTTGTTTTCCGAAAAAGCTTCAAAAACCGGTGAAAACCTATACTAGACGAAATAATCTATTTTCCACTATTTACACCGAAAATTAAAATATTCGTAACTCACTCAAAGTTATTCCAAAATGCACAGATACAATGGAGTATATGTTGATATTTTGAAGCATTTTGAATCATGATTGTTTTAAAGAACGCGATGATGCATATAAAAGCAGCGTTGTTCTTAAAACACAATAGATGGTGAGAATTATTCTAGTGTTTTTCGTTTTCTCAATAAATTAAATATGAAGAATCAAGTTAGAGCCTCATATTCGGAGCAGAGATGGACGCGAGCCGGGCTTTTGGTCGGACCAGGCTTGGGCCTCAAGGTTTTTTGTCGGGCCTGGCTGGACCAAGGATTTCTCTTTCTTTCAGAGAGTATATGATTAAATACATCTGTAAAACCATTATATTTAGTATAAACATGTTCGTGATGAATATTATAATATTTCTTTTTCTAATTCGCAGCTGAATAAACAGGGTATCTAGTGCATACAAAGATTGGAGAAAAACCATGCGAACTTTAAATGATAGAGTTGTGTTAGAAGCACATTTATTGCATTTTGTCAACAAAGCCTATTAGCGTTAAAGACCCATTCTCTTTTAAGTGTACTGTGAAACAACTAGTTGAATTACTTTTAAAGTGACTCTTTATAGTTATTTTCTTTTCCTTTCATTTTATCCGTTGCTCAGGATATTTATTATCAATTATTATATGAAAACAGCATTTTAACATTTTTCTTTTTACATTTTATCGATATGCCTAAAATTTTAAAGTATTTTCATAGACATACGATGTTACAGCTTGAAAACCGAACAAAATCTTGACCCCATTTGTCACAAGTGACCGCTGATCTTTTATCGTGTCGATGTTTTATAATCTTTTAAATGCGATATTCTTGTTCAGAATTGAATGCTCTTTCAAACTAGATAGGTCTCAGCACATGCGCCAAACACCACTGTAATTGTGATATCAACCTCAATGAACTACTCAGTGCTTTAAGAGCAAAATCAACTGAAAAAACTAACAAACAAAAAAAGGTCCGAAATTGCAATTGGGAAACTTAAAATATGTTAAAAAACACAAATTTGTCAACTGGAATTACTGAGTAGCGAAAGTAGCCAAATTATTGATATCAACGGCGGTACCGAAGTACCGATAATTTCCTACTTTGCAGCATTTATTTTTTCTTATTGTTTCTCAAGAAAGTCTGATAGAAGAAACATAGTAAACCAAGAAAGATTAGTTCTAAATTAGTGAGAAGCGCAACTTCTAAACAACGCCGTATCGCCAAGACCGATTGTTATGTTCTTACTGAGCACGGCGAGCATTACAAAGTGAACTTATCTTTGACCACTAAATTAGTAAATGGATACTTTGAGTGAATTTTTCCTATTTATCTCTCAATGTTGGAGAGGATGCATCGATTGTTTGGTGCTCTTCTTTTCGCTAATATTTCGAAAGCTGTAATATCCCTCAAGGTGAGATTTTCAGAAAATCTAGCATTTTGGAGTACAGAATTTATTTCTACGAGTAGGAACCTCCAACTATGTAATGTGAAGTCACCCTCACTGCACCGAACACTCCTCCTCCTGGATACACCCACTTGCCGCCTTCATAACTCAGCTGAATCATTGTCACTTCGTTCGTATTAAACGCGCACATACTCATTCACTTTGCCAGCTGCTCGTGACTATTAATCTCTTCAATAAATGAGTACTCGCGCTTCTTACTAATTTTGTTCGGTAGTTTCTCAAAGCGCGGTGATCGTTGAATCATGCGCCCCACAGCACAGTGCGTCTCTTGATGATCAATAAAACGTGGTTGACGATGGAGTAAAACATCGTGCTGCGGAAATTGTCCTGCAGCCCAATATTCGTGAAGACGATCAAGTGCTTCGAGTTTGAATAGATGTTTCGTTTTGACGCAGTAAATTTTCAACGTATTCCAAATGTGTTTGAATACGAAGGATATCGTCGTCCGATGAAGAAGGTAAATAGCCAAAGTTTTCACGAAAACTAATATCGCCTAAAATCTTATTGATAGAATCATTAGCACTACAGTTGTGATGATGAGCAGTAGAAATACTATGGATTTCATGTTTGTTTTGTGTTTGTACGTGTTATGTGTTGATGTATCTTTCTTTACATAGCTTCCATAATAGCGTGCGTCATTTGACAGATAGAAGGACATATCTTTTGATGTCATAAAAATGACAAATCATTGTTTATTATCAGTGGAAGTGTTGATACATGACAAATAAAATAAGAACGTCACAATGCTGCAATCGTTCTTTTACGCAGTATACAAAACATTTTATCCTTTGCCAATGAGAAGCATATTTCTCAGTTACGGCTTTTAACAAAGTCTGAGACAACGTACGCTGCAATAATGCATGCGGTGTATTCCAAGCTAGTCCATCGGAACATATTGTGAAAGAGGGCAACATATTCTGAGTCAGGAACGCTTTACTATCGAGTAGCAGCTACTGTCAGTAAAATGATTGCGCACTCTTTAGCAGAATCAAACACTTCCAAATTTACCACCATGTTTATCTCCCCTATTCCATATGCATCATTATTCAGATCAAGGAGACGTCTATTTTCGATTTTTGACCAAAATTAACCGACCATCATCCTGTGTGTAACAGGCCTGCAAAACGTTTGATCCTCTCGCTTTTATCCCTACTACCCAAAATGATACCTTTGGATGATTCTTTTTTCTATACAATGCGTCATACAACTAATAGTGTAAGAATTATGTACCATTGATAATAAATCTCCTTGTCTTTTTTCTTCTTCCTGGTTATTTTCACAATTGTGAAATGACAGAAGAAACTATAAATAGTTTTGCTGTTTAGTATAGGAAATCTACCCATCTTATTTATGATAGGAAAATTCTCTTATACCTAGCCCAGAATTCGTATATAAAATTAGTAGTTTCGCCCGTTGATTTAACACTCTTACTAGACTACTACTCACTGGTCTTATTCAACGAAAGATAAGTACATCACGAATAGCAGAGGAACAGAATCCAGAGCTACTTTAAAATCTTTCACAATGCATAAAATATTGTACATTCTCGTGGCCACATTACTCGTTTACAGAACGCTTGGAGTATCCATAATTCTTCATGACACTGATGAAATACAGACTAACGTAATGCGGACGACCGATGAAATGGATATTGCCGATGCTGAATTAGATCGTCTCTCGCATACACTAGATATCGAAGATGAAGAAGAGCACATTGCAGAACCAGCACCTGTAGATCGCCACCGAAGACAAGTACCGAACTACATGCAAGCCAATAACGGACCACTAGGAAAAGTAGGCTTGTGAACTTTACTGAAAGTTTTTTGTCAAATTACATTTATTTTAGCCGCAGTTTTCAGTCCAAGGAGCTGGCAGTGCTCAGAACGGACGTAACTGGAATTTTGGCGGGCAGGTGGGCGCTAGTGCCAAGGTCTGGGAAAGCCAGAACAGACGACATTCGGTCGGCGTTGGAGGCACCTATGGACAGTCATTTGGCAAATACGAGGTAGCGGAGTAGCCCCGAATTTGTTTTAGGATGAATTAACTAGGTTTTACTTTTCTAGGGTCAAAGTTGGCAAAGTAGACCGAGTTATAGTGCTGGAGTTGGATACCAATACAAATTTCCTGGTTAATTACGTTTTAATTTCTTCAAAACTTTCGCTGTTTTGATCTGTAAAGATATTTTCTCGTGGCGAAATAAATTTTCATAATCAGGAATCAAAGGGCAGACTAAGTTACACGAGTGAGCTCAAGAGTGTTCTGTCGAATCGGATGATACCATTTCACGCGAGAATATGACGAACAGTAACGCAATTACGATAAACTATGTCGCGATTTTCTTGGTTTACTATGTTTCTTCCATCAGACTTTCGATTTTATCAATAATTTCGCTACTTTCACTGCTCAGTAATTCCAGTTGACAAATTTGTGTTTTTTAACATATTTTAGGTTCCCCAATTGCAGTTTCGGACCTTTTTTGTTTGTTAGTTTTTTCAGTTGACTTTGCTCTTAAAGCACTGAGTAGTTCATTGAGGTTGATATCACAATTACAGTGGTGTTTGGCGCATGTGCTGAGACCTGTCTAGTTTGAAAGAGCATTCAATTTTGAGCAAGAATATCACATTTAAAAGATTATAAAACATCGACACGAAAAAAGATCAGCGGTCACTTGTGACAAATGGGGTAAAGATTTTGTTCGGTTATCAAGCTGTAACATCGTATATCTATGAAAATACTTTAAAATTTTATGCATATCGATGAAATGTAAAAAGAAAAATGTTAAAATGCTGTTTTCATATAATAATTGATAATAAATATCCTGAGCAATGGATAAAATGAAAGGAAAAGAAAATAACTATAAAGGGTTGAATTACTTTAAAAGTAATTCAACCAGTTGTTTCACAGTACTCTTAAAAGAGAATGCTGTTGGTAGCGAAGATGAAAAAATTAGATTAAATAAGAAACTCATTTGAAAACAAAGTGTTTTTCACCCATATTTGTCATCGTTTTCTCTATATTTCTTCTCAAGCTCAAACTTACGGGCGGTTTCTTTTCACTTGCTAAAATATGCCTCTTACCTGGATCTTAACTTGTAGTCCTAAATCTGAAAAAGTAGACTTAGATCTGATGTGACCTACATCTTCGGTCTAAACTTGTAACCTGGACTTTGTACCTACTGTGCGAAAAATTTGTGAAAGTAACCTCAACTCACAGTATAAGTTCCACAGTTTATCAAAAGATTGTTATTGTACATCTACAAGCCCTTCTAAACGTAACACAATATAAAAGTGTAACCAAATAGAAAAATAATAAGGCAGAAGAAACTGTACACTAACTAATTCTAGATTTATTAAATTATTTTTAATGTTTCCTTCTCTATAGGTCTGTGACAATTCATAGTTCACTGAGCTGCAGTTTCTCCATAACCGGAACTGGTTTTGCAGTTCGCATTTATTGAACGGGAACTGCTTTTCAGTTTCCGTTCATGAACTAGGAACGGATCAGCAGTTCACGTTTCTAGGAACGAGGAACAGTTTGCTGGTGTCAGTTTTTGAGAACGGGAACTATGTAGTTCGAACAGTTCCCAGTTCCGAATCAGAGATCGGCACGGGCCATAAATTTTTAGCCCGGTTCGACGCGACAAAAGATACAGGTCCGAGTCCGGTCCGACCTTTTTCAGTTGTTTATAGTCTCTTGCATCTTTAACGCTAATAGGCTTGGTTGACAAAATGCAATAAATGTGCTTCTAACACAACTCTATCATTTAAACTTCCATGGTTTCTCTCCAATCTTTGTATGCACTAGATACCCCGTTTATTCAGCTACAAATCAGAAAAAGAAATATTATAATATTCATCACGAACATGTTTATACTAAATATAATGGTTTTACAGATGTATTTAATCATATACTCTCTGAAAGAAAGAGAAATCCTTGGTCCAGCCA